AGCCGAAGGAAGAGGGAGGAGAGAACCTTCCTGGTGGGGAACCTGGAGATCCGCGAGAGGCGACTCTTCAACCTGGACGTGCCAGAGGATCGGCGCTGCTTCGTCAAGGTCAGGGCCTACAGCAATGAAAAGTTCACCCCCTATGAGCAGCTGGAAGGGGTGGTCATCAGCCTCATCAACCTGGAGCCCCAACCTGGCTACCCCACCAACCCCCGGGCCTGGGGCCGCTTCGACAGTGTGGTCACAGGCCCCAACGGCGCTTGTCTCCCCGCGTTCTGTGACGCGCAACGCCCCGACGCCTACTCGGCCTACGTCACCGCCACGCTGGGCGGGGAGGAGCTGGAAGCTGTGGCCTCCAGCCCCAAGCTCAACCCCAACGCCGTTGGGGTGTCCCAACCCTACCTGGGCAAGCTGGGCTACCGCCGGTTGGACCACGATGACCCCAACCTGAAGAAGACAGCTTTCCAAATCAATGTGGCCAAGCCCGACCCCAACAATGTTGACGAGACCAACGGGCCGATCTACTCCTACCGCAGCCTGGAGGAGTGTGAGAAGGCACCAACCAGTGCCAACCATCTGCGTTTCTACCGCGTGGAGGTGGACAAGTACGAGTACAACGTGGTGCCCTTCAAGGAGAGCGATCTGACCTCCTGGACCGGCGACTACCTGTCGTGGTGGCCCAACCCTCAGGAGTTCAGGGCTTGTTTCATCAAGGTGCAGATCGAGGGGCCGCAGGAGTACATGGTGAGGTCAAGGAACGTCGGGGGCAGCCACCCCCGTACCCGAGGGCAGCTCTACGGGCTGAGGGACAGTCGGAGCGTGCGGGACATGACGCTGGAGAACACCTCAGGAGCTTGTGTGGAGTTCAAGTGCAGTGGGATGCTCTTCGACCAAAGCCTGGTGGATCGCACCTTGGTGTCCATCATCCCTCAGGGAAGCTGTCGTCGCACGGCCATCAACAGCCTCCTCAGGGAGTACCTGAGCAGACACCCACCCGTGGCAGACAACAACCACACAGGAGCCTTCACCATGCTGGCACCGGTTGACCCGTTGGGTCACAACTACGGCATCTACACGGTGACAGACCAGAACCCTCGGCTGGCCAAGGAAATCGCCATCGGCCGCTGCTTCGACGGCACCTCCGAC